ACCCACACCCCACACCCACACCCACCCACACCCCACACCCACACCCATCTAGTAGATTCATTAAGTGATACATGTCGTTCAGTATCTCAATCAAATATAGTTGGTATAATTGGTCCACATTTATCAAGAGAAGCAGTTATAATATCTCCAGTTGGTCAATCTCTTGGTATACCAGTTATAGCATATAGTGCAACCAGTCCTGATTTGTCTGATAAAATTGCCTATCCAAATTTTTACCGAACAGTTCCGTCAGACAATATAGCTGCAAAAGCTCTTGTTAAACTATTCAATAGATATGACTGGACATCATGTGTAATAATTTATCAAAATGATGCATTTGGATCTGGTGCATCAAAAACTATAAGTGATGCATTTTATATAAGTGGATTGACAATAACACAAACGATTACATTTGATATAGCAAAACGTAGTTTTCGTGCTGATTTAAAAAATATTTTAATGAATTCTCCAACACGAATTATTATAGTATGGGCTGAAACAGTTTATACATATATTATATTAGAAGAAGCGCTTCGATCTAATGTTGTTGGTCCACATTTCACATGGATATTAAGTTCTCGTGTATCACTAAATTCTTTCAATAGAGCATATAAAGATAATTTAATTTGGAATGATTATAATTGAACCAGCTGTTGGATCAGTTATAAATGCTCCATACAATATGACATTATTAAATGAAGCATATAAAATTTGGCAAGAATATGAAAATGAAACATATCCTGAACCGAAAAATGTTGACTATTATGCATTATTTGCATTTGATGCAACATGGTCATTAATTAAATCATTAGAAGCATTATGTTCATCAACAATAAATAATGCTTCTTCTTCATGTTTATCATTCAATTCATCTTCATTTTGTTACGATAGTCGTTTTATTCAATCTAATTTATTATTAAATCAACTTGATAAAACTAATTTTCTTGGTGTTTCTGGTCCTATTCAATTTGGTGAAAATCAAACAGATCGAATAAGTGGTTCATATTATCCAATAAAAAATGTTCAATCATCTGTATATGGTTTAAATTATGTATCTGTATTAGAATATGCTGACCCTGATAATTTCAGAGTACCTTTACAAGAAAATACAATTGTATGGCCAGGAAATACATTAACACCACCTACAGGTCGAGCTAGTCTTAAAGGTGTTACCTTAAGAGTTGGCATTATTCAATCAGTTCCATATACAATAGTTCAAAAAACAACAGATTCAAACGGACAAACTACACTAGAATATATTGGTTTTATACCAGATTTAATTGAACGATTAAAAACAAATATTGGATTTAATCCGATTCTCCAATTAGCACCATCAAATCAAACTTATGATGGGTTAGTTGAAACAGTAAATAAAGGTATTAATGATATAGCTATTGGTGATATTACTGTTAATTCAAAAAGAAGAAAATTAGTTGGATTTTCTAATGCAATATCTGAGACTTCATTACGTCTTATTATTAGAAATACTCCTGATGCCAATCTTGATCTTTTCGGATTTTTAAAACCATTTTCAGTTAACCTATGGTTATTAGTTTTAGCTACTTGTATTTCTTCGGGGATTTTAATGTGTATTATTGAAAGAAAAGATAATGAAAATTTAACAGATCGATCAGTGTCATCTCAGTTAATAATGAGTATATGGTACTCTTTTGCTAATATGGTTGGATATGGAGCAGATTTTTCTGCTAGTAATGCTGCTGGACGTCTTTTAACTGGTGGTTTATATATATTAAGTTTAATAATAGTTGCATCATATACTGCTAATTTAACATCTAACTTAACATTAGCTAAATCGCAATTCGTTATATCTGGTATTGATGATCTTAAGAGTGGAAAAATACAATCTAGTCGTGTTGGTGTTCGTGTAGGTACAGTTGGTGAAGCTTATTATTTATCTCATATATCTCACGGAAATAAAAACTATTATCCATTAACAACCCGACAAAGTTTATATGATAATCTACTTGCTGGTAATATTGATGTATCATTTATAGATGATGGAATAGGTACATATGTAACCAATAATGTTTATTGTAATTTAACTTTAGTTGGAGCTGGTTTTGATATAGGAGTTTTTGGTATTGTTACTCCTAAACAATGGTTATATGCACAAGATTTAGATGTTACTCTATTATCATTGAAAGAAACAGGTTATCTAGATGATTTAATACAAAAATGGTTTGCAGTAAGAAAGTGTCCAGATTCACAAACAACAACATCAAATGCTATGGGAGTTGAAGCTGTTGGTGGTTTATATATTATTTATGCAGTTATTTATATTTTATCTATAGTTTTATTTCTATGGATTAAAAGACTAAGTGTTAAAAGTGTTTTATTTGACTCAAAATTAAGAAAAAAATTTCAAAATAAAAGAAAATATTCAACGAGAACAAATTCAGAGAAAAATTCTCAACAGAGAAAAAATCATCAAATGGCTTTACAAAATTGTGGACATTTTTAGTCAACAATTTTATTTATTTAAATGAAACTTCTATCTACCAATTTCATTCAATTAAATTCGCTCATTTTTTTTAAAAAGAACAAAACAAACAGCTTATTCAACGTCAGTGCTATTTTATTGAAATAAAATTTTTCTTGAAGAATTCATTTATGCCTCATAGAATTTTGTTCATATCCATTTAAATAAAAGTTTTGAAGAAAATTAACAGAGAAGACGTTATTTATTCAAATCGTTTTATTCGAAAACAAAAACGAAAAAGTTAAAACTAATATTTTATTTTATTTTGTTTTACTTTATTATATTTATCTTGTTGATTTCTTTAAAAGGCTGTCATTTGTTGTTCTTGAGTCGTTCCATGGGTACTCGATCATAAAAACACAAAAGTCTCAAAAAATATTTTAACATATTCTATCTTGTAGAGAATTTAATGCTGATGATTTTGATTAAAAAAAATGTCTTAATTTAGTCAATAAATGATGGAGTCAGAGTCAAAATACTAAAAAACGTCTATTGGTTCTGTTGTCTGGGATTATTTGACGTTTTTCAGTATTTTGATTCTGACTCCATCATTTATTGACTAAATTAAGAATTTTTTTTTTATCGAAATCATCAGTATTAAATTCTCTACAAGATAGGATATGTTATAATTATTTTCTGAGACTTTTGAGTCTTTTTGGGCTTAGTCTTATTTCAGGCACTTTTTCGTTTAAGTTATAAAGTAAAGAAACGTTTGTAAATTTTTTTTTCTTTATTTTTAAGATTATATGTTTTACAAATAAGTATATGATTCTTTTCTTCTTAGATTCGTGATCACTACAAGAGATCTATGAAGATACAGACAACATCTGTGCTATTCGTTCAAAAAAAACGTTACCTAAATCTGATTGAAAGTTCTATGGATGAAAATTAAGGTCACATGCCAAAGGTTTATTTTTCATATATAATGTTAGTATATTTGAGCAAAATATTATCCTAACCTTACAATGGAGGTGTTTGTACTGTCCCTCAAGAAAACGGCTCATATTCGTTTTAAATGAAATCTCTCATCACCAAAATAACAGGGTAAAAATATTAGCAGCTCTTGTCTTGTCTAGAGAGAGATATTCAAATTTTATAATACTCAGAATTTGAGTATATAGAAAACATGAGCATTATGTAGATGAATTTTCTATTCAATTAACTGAGAATTTCAACAATAGAATACAAGAATCTTTCTAAAACTGATCAATAAGGGTGTGGGTGTGGAAGGGTATGGGTGTGGGGTAGGGTGTGTGGTTGTAGGTGTGCGTGTAGGTGTGGGTATGGGAAAAGGAAGATTCATATCCCACACCCACACTCACACCCACACCCACCCACACCCACACCCCACACCCTTTTTATCGTACATCTACGAATTATAGTAAGTACTTCTAGTATAATTTTGTGTATAATGGCGTTTAATTATGGATTAGAATGAGTATTTTCAAATTAATATTTTTGTTATGTTTCTAGTGCAAAATGAATGACTGATTTTGATAACTATCTGTTTTTACAATCAAAAATATCCGTTTTTCACTAGCTTTTACGTCATTTTCTTTGCATATGTCTTTCCATTCTATAATTGATTTTTTTCACTTGAACAAATTCTATTAAAATAGAGTCAAATATAGTATTCTTTTATCTCATATATTATATATTGATCTATATTCGGCTGTTATTATTGATACAATACAGATGTAATTATTTAACCCTTTCGTTACCATAGTATAAAAAAAGCTGCACCTGTTTTTAATTCTTTTTTTTATAGTATAATTCATCGGAATTTGTGTATAATCTCTTGAAAGCAATTCAAAAAGAGTATTCTAGAAAATTTTCGTAGTATCTGTGTCACAAGCAGTGCCTTCATATCTTTCATTTTCTTCTTGTCTTTCTCTGAATATGATATCTCTCATAACAAGGTTCAATATAACTTACACTTCATAAATCACATGCAAAAACAGATGAGTTACTTTTCACATGTCCCTATCAATGGTGAACTGAGGATTTTTAGAAAAGATGGGGTCGATCGCT